CCCCCCCCTTTCTGTCAACCCACCCCACTTTTGTCGACATCTCTTGATCCGCCCCCGAATATGGTGTGTGCGCAGGAGGGAACTCATTACACATACCACGTTTCCCAACCCCATTTCTCCATACCATGTCCCCACTTCGTCGTTCCCTAATGTTGTCCCCACCCTTTCGGTCCCACCTATTAGCCTAAAATTCAAAATGCTTTTACATTCAAAATATTTAAACATTTTATATACCGGACAAAATTGCACCGCTGGGAGGCTAATGCTTTTACTACGTAGCGTAAAAGGAGTAATTCTAGTTATTATTTATATTATCTTTATTAAAAAAATAGTATTTTTATATTTAATTTATTTCTGCCCTGTCATGAAAAACCCACTCAACTTACACATTTTTCAAAATGTGCTTTTTAGCTATTTGCTCTTTTGGGGACATGTGTATTCAGAATTTTGAAATTATAACTGAAAATATGAAATTCAAAATTAAAATATCACTCAACTGCAAGTCACAACTTTTCAATCGTATATAAGTGAAAGCTGACGAGAAACAATACGTACAGTGGCCCAAGCCTATGTTGTAATTACGACATAAATATGTCGAAATTACGACATACGTATGTCGTAATTACGACTTATTATGTCGAAATTTCGACATACGTAAGTCGTAATTACGACTTATTATTTTGAAATTTTGACATACGTATGTCGTAATTACAACTTATTATGTCGAAATTTCGACATAATATGTCGAAATTACGACATACGTATATCGAAATTTCGACTTATTATGTCGTAATTTCGACATAATAAGTCGTAATTACGACATACGTATGTCGAAATTTCGACATAATAAGTCGTAATTACGACTTACGTATGTCGAAATTTCGACATAATATAAGTCGTAATTATGACATAAAAATATATATTTCAGTGGCCCTAATAGGCTTTCGTAAAAATCTGATTGGATACAGAAACAAAGAAGTACATCTGTATCTAATCAGATTTATTGTTTATCATATATTTACTAATACGGTGGCTAAAAATACTTATTAGATTCAACTAATAAATGAAAATAATAATAGAATTCATTCATTTATTAAACTATACACTCCAATGTTACTAAATCAAAGCCTTTCAACAATAACTGTTAGATAAAGTAATATCAAAAATATTTGATACTACTGTATTCCAATTGTATAGAAAGATTCAGTGATGGGTGTCACATGACCTAACTTGGGTGTTAGATGTAAACTATCTATGGCGGCTGTCCCATGTTATTGCTGTAAAGATCATCATAATTGCTGAACGTTCTTTTAAACGTAATTTAAATTTAATACTCTATTAAAGTCGATAGTTGGTGTCCCTAAATTCACCACACAAACTTTGTGTGACTTGTCGTCCAAGGAATATGAGATTTTTTTCGAAGGATCACATAAATTTCAAAGCATACAATGCAAGGAGAAAGCTAGAATAAAAGTAAATAAAAACTATTTTGAACAATCGTATTGCCTTTCCTTGCCATTTACTACTCGCGTTAACAGTGAGTGGTTGTTTTCAAAACCAAAACCTTACCTTTTCCAATACTTAACCAAACCTCGCCAAATCCCTCTATTAATTCTAATTACAATAATAAATAATTGAAATTAAAAACAAAATAATGAAGTAACCCTATGAGCTTATTTCTAATGTTTTGTAAAGTAGAAAGAAGCACTTGAGAAGCATAATACTAACCTACAGTAAAATTCTACCTTGACTCATTAATTCTAAACAGAATGCATTATTCAAGCCTTGCAGTCACAAGTCTATTTTTTTAGTTGATGACTTAGTTTCTTAAGGCGATTAATTCTGCCTTTTGTGTATGTTCTATTACAAGTCCTAGAAGCAAATGATAACCATTACTATACAACTGGATCAATGCGCTTTTGAATTCTAAATGAAATCCCAATTCCAAGTTTTAGCATAAAACCTGAAAAACTCTAAAAATGTCGCACCTACAGTACATTTCTCATTTTCAATTCTTATATTTCTTCTCCTTTACTTAAAACCAGTTTTTATTTTCAGACCTTGATTTAAAGAAAAAGCAGGAGAGCTACTAACAGCTCTCCTCAAGAAATTGAGGAGAGCTGTTTTTTAGCGACAAAATTTGGTCAAACGGCCAAATTTTAGCACTAGGCCTACTGTTACTGTCTGTTGTTACACTGTGCAAGAGAATGAACAATAAATTATGTATCAGGACATAAATTCCCAGCAAGGATTATTCAAAATTAGCTTGGTTCCGATTGTCTGGAAATTGTTTCGATCGTCTGTCAATGCAATAATCAAGGACTTACGATCTGGCCCTCGTCTAGGTAGGCCTATCCTGGGTTAGGGCAGCCTAGGCCTAGCCTTGGGAGATACCGCGATTTACTTACTTAGGCTAGCTGATATCTCATATCTTGTAATATACTGTAGTTGGTGGCAAAGGTAATTTTTAAGGTGTGTCCGGATTTCTTGTTGCAGGGAGTTGTTGGATGCCAAGTAAATACAGGTTGCTTGATAAAGGTTGACAGATTATTATGATAAGGATTATCGGCTGACCTGGCATGTATACATTTAAGTCAAATAAAAAGATAGCAAATGAACAGTTTAGTACACCATTCTCAAGATTGTACACAAAGATAGCCTCTACCTCTGTCAGGTATACTACCACTAGCCAATCAAACTGTAGGTAAGCAAGCGTGGGAGAGATTCCCATACTGCATGTATCACACACATGTAGCTTACTTCAAAGTCATTCAATGTCAGCCAAAATCAAAGTAACATTTATTCAATCCAAAAAAGGAAATTACATTTTAATAAAATATTAGAATTAAAACTGATCAACAAATGCCACCAAGAAAAGAAAAGAAGTTTCTCAATTGAAGGCAAAGAAAAAAGTTTTAAATACAAAATGCAATAGAAATATTTACCAATGGGTCGGGGCCCTGAGGACTGCCACAAGAGTGTTCATTATATTACCAATGGGTTGGGGCCCTGAGGACTACCACAAGAGCGCATTGTATTTACCTATGGGTCCTGGGGACTACCACAAGAGCACATACCTATGGGTCAGGGGCCCTGGGGACTACCATAAGAGAGCGCATTATATTTACATTAAGCGTCAGGGGTCCTGAGGCCTGCCACAAGAGAACGAATAGGTGATAGGCAGATGTCAATAACTTACAAGATAATCAATATCTCAAGAATTCCCAATAGGCTTATTTCTACTATAATTAAAATACTAACTTATAATTAAAATACTAATTAATTTGGAGGTTTGAAGGGCAGTGGTCATGACTGAGCTACAGGGCCCTAACAAGTTCAGTTGTTCAAGCAGTATCTAAAGAAATAAAGAAAGCAGTGGTCCCAAGATGAAAAAATCCACATCTGGGAGACCTGTTTAAATGAGCTTTCTTCATCTACCGTTGGCCTACTGCACCCATCCACACTGAAATCCAGCAGACAACTGATTACATTGGTAAATACATGCAAATATCATGAATTTTGGGGGAGATGTTACAGTATTTGCCCAGGAGATTCTTCTTGCTTGCATTAGTGTGGGAGGCCTTTCTGATTTCCAGGAGACTCTCGCAAATTGTGGAGACTTATGACCCCTGCAAAAACAAAATGAAACACACCAATCTTATCCCATAGGATTTTTATAACTTTGGGTAGTAAGTCTGCACATAAGTAGATAACATGGTCATATTCAGGTTTGCAATTTGGGGGGTATGTGGGTGTGCAGATGTGGGCCAACTGGAGTATTAACTAGAATCCTTGGTAAGGTCAAGGGGCAAAGCCACTTTGATTGCAACTTCAGTTTTTCATAATACTAATATGGCAACTGCAGTGCTCAAACACTGGCCTAAAGAAGCTGGTTAAAATGTAAAGATTCCTTTGTAATCGATGGTACAGAAAATAATCACAAGATTTTATATTTAATCTACATTCCTAACTGTCTTATAAATGTGAAAGTTTTCAATTTGGGACGGGGGAAGGGTGTGCACTACACACGATATGGGACGGGGGAAGGGTGGGCACTACACACGATATGGGACGGGGGAAGGGTGGGCACTACACACGATATGGGACGGGGGAAGGGTGGGCACTACACACGATATGGGACGGGGGAAGGGTGGGCACTACACACGATATGGGACGGGGGAAGGGTGGGCACTACACACGATATGGGCCTGGAGAATCCCTTAAGCTTCCTTACACCCACACTGGCACCACCACCAATTCCAATACAACACCACTGATCAAGTTAGTATTGATTAGTACATAGCTATTGAAATTACTGTAACAAAAAAAGAATGCAATGTTCTTCATGACAGCCTTGCTTAATTTTATTCATAGTTAGAGGCACAGGGAATTCAAAAGTGCAATATTGAATCTGAATTGCAATAGACAACGTCAACAAGGCACTTTTCATGTCATTAAAGTTCAACTATAGCAGGGGTGGTGCCAGCGGAAGGCAAGGGGGGCCATGTCAGGGAGAGCTGGCCCCTGTCTATGAGAAAAACCACAATTTGTCGAGGAGAAAATAATTATTTGTAAAGCGTCATATTTTTCGGGGGCTTCACCCCCATGGAACACTTTCGAGAGATTTCGAGCGACGCCCAACCATGTCCACTTTTTTTTGTCAGGGACATTGTTGGAATAACAATAACCAAAAATTCAGAAGAGTTAAAATTAAATTAATATTTGCATTCATATTGTGGCAAAATTATGATTTTTCATTTGAGTGATCAATATGAATTTGATGTTTAATCTTTTTGAAGACTTTCCATATTCTATATTTTAATTTCAGTATCATCAGTAAAAATTACTATCATGCTACTAGAATTCTGAACAGAAATTTTACTTTGAAAGGGAACAATCTTGAATCTACTGTATCAAATTAACCCAGTAAATAATATTGTGTATTAGGAAAACATTAATGGCTTGATTTGTGACAATGACAACCTTTCTTGAAAATTTTCTCTGCTCACTGAATGCATTACAAAGTCCATAATCTATTTGAATCTTGGTATCATCAGTGAAGATTTGCTATCATGCTACTTTATTTTGTTATTGAATTTTACTTTGAATATATCCAATTAACCCAGTAAAGAAATAATACTGCGTATTAGCCATTATTGGCTCGATATGCAGAACATTGATAATATACAGTACCTAATAATGCAAAAAAATTATTTATTTTGGGGTATATATTTCCAGAATTATTTTCATGATCCATACATTACCATCTACGGTACTACTTTCTATAACTTAACGCAAGTTCTAAAAATTTAAAATAATTTCTTATAAATATTATGCCACAGAAGAATTGTTTTACCCATCATGCAGTAGTTTTTATGAGGTGGTAATATTATTTTGAAAAAAAATGATTAAATTGAAATTGAAATAGTCTATTTTTTCCCTCAAAGGTTCTTTAAACAATATTTTCTATCCTTGCAAATTCATTCCATTAAAAAATGTCATTATCCTACAAAATGTTTACTTTTGAGGTTCCATTTTTGCTATTATAATTTCTCTTGTATATTTTCCATCGATTCTGGAGAAAATTTGTGTCCTAGCCATATACAGTTTGCCATCCTTAAAGTATTCAAGTATATTTATCACTTTCCATGTTTAACGTAATGTAATTAGACTTAATAACCCTTTATGCCAAAGTCTCAAAGTGCTTGAGGTGTGAACTAGCTCGTAATTTCCTTATAATATAAGGTTGTACACCAGGGTAACCCCTAGAATACTCATCTCAAAATATATACTTGGTTCTATGAAGTGCACATGAGCCAAATGTGTCTACTGTTTATAGTCCTTTTCCGAGGAGACTTGATCTATAAATTGAATAAATTGAATTTGTTTAATACACAGAAGCACATTATTCATTATTAGATTATTGGCTTCAGGATTTATTCATGCAGTTTTTCTTTGTAATTCAACAATTGATCAAGTAATGGATATGAAGTAAGATGAAGCACATGTTGTGGTGTTAAAAATACACATGGTTGCAAAACTGCATGATTGTACTGTTTTTTCCAATGTTAACCACTGTCAGATGTTTAGTAGAAAGCACTCTACCAATGCCAAACATTACTTTAAAATATAAAATTATGATTATTCTTGATTCTCTACCAGTCGATTCTCATGTCTGATTTATAGAGTAAACACAAAAATTTACCAAAAATATACTGATGATGCTCGTAAGGTTGGCCATCTAAATTTTCAAATTGGGAAATGCATTGAATTGAAACTGAGAATTAAACTGTTATTTAATAATAATATTCTGTCTTGGAAAAAAAATTAATAACAATAACAGCTGTGAAATTGTAATCATTCCAAGGTCTTCCAAGCCAGGCTCAGTGTTCATCAGATCAACAATTTTAAGTAAAATAATTTTCTATGTTTCTCATTATTTTAAATAGCAAATATACTACACTAGTCAGTTATAGGATGGAACCCTGCTTTATACAGTAAACCAGTTCTCTTTATGAGGCCCAAGCACATGCGATGTAAATATCATTCAAGTTTTGTCTTTTTATGATACTGTAACAAAAACAAAATATATGCAGCTGGCAAATGAGAAAGTCGAAAGGTCCAAAATATATTTAGAATAGAATTAGCTATAATTAATTAAATTACCCATCCAATATATTATATAACTTGACATTACTGATCAGTGAATGCCAAAGTTTGCTTATATCAATATTTGACAGGTAATTTAATTAATTATATACTGTAAATTTGTTTGCCTCAGCAACTCCAGACAACAAATTGACATTCAGTTAATTTCAGATGTCAGATGAATATTAAATTTTGTTTTTTCTTCAAACCAAATAATTTTGTGAACAATAATTAATGTCTCATTGTATTTATAAATTAGATACTCTACATGTCAACTTTAAAATTTATATTAAAATACAAACAACAGTAGGCCTACTGTCATACAAAGACTCCTACTGCAGTGCAAACATCTCAAGTGTGTGAACAGAACTACTGTCATACAAAGACTCCTACTGCAGTGCATACATCTCAAGTGTGTGTGAACAGCATTAACACACCACATGCTGAGAATAGGGTTTGCATCATCATTATGTACATCACAGTACTGTATGCCACATGAAAAGAGAAGGGTTAGCATCAATGGAAGACACTGGTAGCACACTCCAAATGTTTACAGACCCTTTCATTACACTTTAACACTAATAATAATACATTTTCTGTCATTTTATACATTTTTTTAATTGGATTTCTGTAACTTAAATTTCAGTATCTGTTACAATCATTTTTAAATATTTATAACAAATTGTAAATAATTTCTCCATTTTAAAATTCTAAAACTTTGACAATTTTTAACTGAATAGTAAGTCAATAATTCAATTTTAACTAAAATAAACAGATTTGCAATTACACCTTTAAGAAGATCCTATAGGATGTGTGCCTTCACTTTTATAATGGTTCCAATGTCAGAGGTCCCAAGTCTACCGCTACTTGCGGTAGTCTACCGCGTTTAGCGACGATCTACCGCGCTACCGTAAGCTTACGTTTTTCTACCGCATGAAAAAAATTCTCCCGTAAATTTTTGAAAATTTGAGTAGGCTATTTAATTTTGAATATAATTATAAGCTTAGCCTAGGCCTAGATAAAAACATAACTTGTTAAAAAACAATCGTAAACAATCACAAATAAGTTTATTCCACTCCCTACCATCACTGTTTATAATGTATTTGCAATTAATTACGGTAGCTGCTGAAAACATGGAATCCCAATACACTTTGTTTATTTAAAAAGTCGATGCGCCCATCCTTCCGATGCCCGGCCTGAGACCATGCCTGCATTGATCTAAACAACCCCGTAAACAACACGCCCTTTGTCCCGTAGAACAGGCTTACAGTTAACTTTTTGCATAAAGTTAATTTTATCGAGCTGTTTCATGAAAATAATCACACAATTATTAATTAATAGTCGAAAATAATAAGTAAAAATATGGCTCCAGCGAAGATGTGTTTTTAATTCGTAATTCAAGAAGGACGTTCGCTGTGGCGCACCATCGAGGTTAACGAACTCAACTCTGGAAAAAGTATACTGTTTGAAAGCATGGAGGTCCATGTTGTTAGTTATGCTGTAATATCTGTGAAGAACGGTGGAATGGCCGATGTTGAAAGATATTTAAAGGTATGTGGACTTCTTTTTAAACAGTTTTATGTGATTGTGATAAAAAATCATACGTTCTATATTCAGTTTTGTGACTTGGTAATGGATGGTTTAGAGGCCTGCACTCATCATTACCCTACTACCCTAGCCGTCTCATCGAGCCATTTTTCCCTGTACTAGATAGGGCCTAGACTAGGCCTAGGGCTAGCCTAGGCCAACTGTCATTTAAATACCTTAAGTCTAGACCTCAGTTAAGGTTTTTGAAGTCAAGCTACATATACTGTACCTAGACAAGACTATCGATATTTTAACAAGAATTTAAAAAAAAATTAGGTTACATATATTTTGAGATAATATTTTCGTTATTTTTTTATGTTGACAGATTTGTTTGCCATGATTGAACTGCATCCAAATTCCGCTCTTCTCTTAGCAGCAAAGAAGCTACTGGACT